TTTGCCTTGAGCGATTCAAGAGAGGCAAACTGACCACCAGACTTAAGCGATTTAAGAGCTGGCAAGACGAAACTCCTGAGCGATTCAAGAGCCTAGTAGAATCAAGAATAGACAGAAAAATTAAAGCAAAAGCAGTAAAATAATCAACAGATAAGTAAATAATATTACAGAAAAGTATTGGGGGGAAAATTCCCCAGGAATTAAAACCCAAATGGAACGAAACGAGGAATTGGAAATTACTAGTGAGTGAGAGCCCCCAGTGTCTCAATGAACAGGCACCGTTGCACACAAAACATACAACATAATGTGACAGTACTAAATGAACCCTTATAACTAATTTACAAAGTACTCCATAACATAGACATGAAGAATACCCCAGCTGACAGGCCATATAGAACAAGTAACTGTATTTACGTCCAATACAAAGGTTTGTGTCAGTAACTTATTAGTATTTCTAGTTTTTAACAAAGTATTGAAATAACTAATTAAGTAATTTATATAAAGTCTATTGAACTTTTTACATATGGATAAAAAACTATCAAACAAATGTCATTTGCTAAAGCGGGTTTTCTTTATTGAAGCATTACACTATACCTATGTTCTTTTTTACAAATCCTACAGATTTTTTAGTATATCTCTGTTCCCGAGCTCTGTACCTACCCTGTCATATTGTTCCCTAGTGACATTGCCAGTGGCGCGCTGGTCCATTTCTTTAAACTTGAAGAGGGTGTCAAGGAGCTCAGATTGGGTGGGGTAGGGGATAGGCTGGGCGATGGCCAGGAGGAAGCGTCTCCAGTCAACATATTCCCCATCCGCCGACAGACCTGACGATATCTCCTGGACCTACAAAATTCAGGATAAGGATTAAAACTATTAAATAAATAAACAAATTGCCCGATATCCAACAACTGTTGAGCTAAAACATTTTCCTAAAATTATCAAAATTCTTCCTATATGTCATACATCCTGTAAACATGATGGATTCTAAATTTCAATTACCTATATCTATGAGAAATTCAGCTCAAATATTTCACAGAAATGGATACACATAGATTGTTAAAATGTTACAAAGGTACATGTGCTGTAAAATTACTCTGACTGCTACATCTGACATAATAAAAGAAAAACAATAATAAAACAATGTACATCCTACCTGTCCTGAACTAATGGTCATCCACATGTCGGGAAGCTGTTCCATGCCATGGGCCACGGACACAATGTTCTCAAATGTTTCTGTGAATGAGCGGGCAGAGAGGACGCCTGTTGGGGCTATGGCAGTAAACTAGAAAAGAACAGGAATTACTATCAAACTTCTATCATACAACAAACATGGCATTAACAAATCATATTAAGAATATTGATAATAACGCGTACACAAAATTCCTTTAAAGGATTTTATCAACAAAATATACAAAGTTACAGGGCCATTTTTTCAGAAAAATGATCACAACTGAAATTAACTAAATACATCTTATGGCAAATCTGACACTTTGTGACAGAAAAACTATCCTGCTTATACAGGATGATAGTCAGAGCAGAGATAAAAAAGACTGAACTGTTCCCAGAACTGTTCAATAGCAGAGAAATACCACTAAACCACAAGGGCACAGATCCCCAACCTCACGGTCTGTATATATAATACACATATAAACAGACCATGGGGTTGGAGATCTGTATATATGACATAATACACATATAAACAGACCATGGGGTTGTAGATCTGTATATATGACATAATACACATATAAACAGACCATGGGGTTG